GTTTTGAGGAGCTAAAAGAGGCTTTGATAAAGGTTAGTTGATTGAGAAAAATACGGAGCTAACAAAATTTTTCATGCCAAAAAGAGGACGATAAGGTTCTATCTTCTATGCATTTGATTGATCAGAAAATTAAAAAATAACTAACTGTTAAAAGGTTAACGTGTCTTGTATGGAGAATCTAAAAGTGAAACCAACTTAAAATGTTGTTATCCACACGAACAAAGAAATAGACGGTTATTTAGTCATATATAATTTGGTGAACACAAACTTTCATATGTGAGTTGTCACACTGTGTGACTAATCACATTTTTTTTTTTGGAATGGTCGGGATTATTTAGTTAATCAGGGGTCACTCACTCAGTGGGGTTATTAGGTCATTACTTGATCTGAGTTTACTTACTCAGTTAAAAGTTTCCTAGTAAAGGGTTACTCATTCAGTCGGGGTTACTCGTGTGTTAGTTGGTCACACCGTGTGGCCAATCACACACAAAAGTTGTTTTTTATGAATTATATAGTGAGAGATACCTCCCCTAAGTGGTTAGAGATTCCCTCCCAATTTCAGAGAAAACTGGATCGATTCTCACCCTCGCCCTTGTGGCTCTCTAAAAACCGAAAAAAAGAAAAAAGAAAAAAAAAAGGAAAAAATGCCCTGATTAATCTCAACTTTAAATTGTCTCGCATGCCAATAATAATCCCTACTTTTGATTATTCACTATCATTTCCAACTTTGTATGAGATTAAAAAAATATTGTACCCAAATGACTTGAAACCGGTTGAAGAGGTAAATTTTGTTGACTTGTAATTAATTGCACACGTGTCGCAACCTGATTGGTTCAAAATTAAAAAAAAAAAAACAAAAACAAAAAACAAAACCACCACCACCCTCAATCTTGCCGGAACCCTAACCCCAACCCTCAATTCCACCAGAAAACGGTCTGCCAACCTCCGACATCCACCAAAAACCACCGACCATCCTCCACCACTTATCCCCGACCTTCGAAACCACCCACACAGTCGGATTTCATGGTTGATTTTCGGGAAAGAGGGTGAAATTGAGGGTGGGGGAAGGGAAAGGGGTGGGTTTCGAGGGAAGGGGGAGGGATGGGCGCCGTTTTCCAGTAGCGGGGGAGGGGTTTTCGGGGGTGGGGGAAGTGAAGGGGTGGGTTCGAGGGAAGGGGGAGGGCTGGGTGCCGTTTTCCGGCATCGGGGGAGGAGTATTTGGGGGTGGGGAAGGGAAGGGGTGGGTTTCGAGGGAGGGGAGGGCTGGGCGCCGTTTTCTGACAGCGGGGGAAGGGTTTTCATGGATGGAGTCGATTTTCCGGCGGGGTGGGGGTATGGTGTTTTTCGGGATAGGGTTGGGGGGCTGAGTGTGGTGGGAGCTGCTGGGCATGGGTTGTTTTTGAGGTTTTTATTTATAAATTTTTTAAAGCCAATTATAGGCTAACACGTGTCTTGTAACCTGTAATATTAGGTTGGATGACCGGTTGGGTGTAATAGAAATTAGTAGGGTATAAAGTTGGGAGTGATGGTTAATAACTGAAAGTAGCGATTATTATTGGCGGAAGAGGCAAATTTGGGATTAATGGTGACAATTTTTCTAAAAAAACAAAAAAGAATTACCAAACTTATAGTTATTTGGTTTTAGGATCAAATTCCGCTTTTATTGACTATTTAGTTTTTTTTACTTTTCTTACCCTTAATAAAATAATTTGTATGACAATTAATAGACAGCTTACAAAATCAAATCAATTATAAACGCAATTTAATAGCTTACATATAAAAAATTATACAAGATTCATATTTAGAATAAAGGAAAAATTAGAAAAAATAATCCTAACTTTCATCAATTTTGGTAGAATAATCCTAACTTTGGATTATTATAGAATAATCTGAACTTTGGGGTTTTTTTTTTCTTCAATCCCAAACCGGTCAATGACCTATTATATCAGGTCACTTGACACGTGTCAAATACTGATTGGTCCAAATTTTAAAAAAAATAAATAAAAAACAAATATCAGAAAACCATCCAACTTCCCTTCCACCACCGATCCAACCTGATCACTGCACACCACCACAACCTATCCCACCAACCCACTCTAACCTCCATCACCACAGCCCAGGCCCCCGCATCTCCCCCACCCCTTGAGTCGCCGTTTTCTCCTCTCCCCGAAACCCCACTGTAGACACCTAAAAATATCTCCCCAAAACCAAACCTGATGATGAATAACCTTTCACCGCCACTATTGGCCGGTTCAGTATTTAATCCCGAAAGTGTTTAAAAAATCGTATTTAATTAAATTCAATTTTTGAATAGTCCATGGATCAATCTTGATGTTTAGTCAAAGCATAGTTTTTTAATTTTTTAATTTATTGTTTTTTTTTTATTTTGGCCCAAACTTTTTATTTATTTTATTTTATTTTCTTATTTTAGCCCAAATAATAATAAAAACGGAAATGGCCCAAAATTATCAATCGACACTTAAAATGCTGAACGAAATTAGGGTTAAAAATGAATTTAGATGGAAAAACGGACTGAAAACTCCTGCATCACGGCTACAGTCCACCGTGTCACGAAAAACTTTCCCGTCTGACGGTGGGGTTCCCCGTGACACGGGACACCGTAAACCCTTAACGCGTTTTCTCCCCTCGTTCACTAAATATTTCCCGCGTCACACAAAAGTACACCGTGACACAGGAATTTTTCCCGTCTGACGGTGGGATTTCCCGTGTCACGGTACACTCTGCCGTGTCGCGGTATACTTTTTTAGGATTTTTATCATTTTAGGGTTCCGTGTGTTCCCTCAACACATTTTTTCTATAAATACCCCCTCATTTCTGATGTACGGGGCATAAATTAATTCTCTATTTTTCTCACCTCTATGCTCTAGCCTAAACACTAGCCTACCCTTCTTCTTTCAAAATTCCTTCTTCAAGCACTCCCAGGAGTCCATACATTACTCGTGGTTCTGTCCTTAAGCCAAGGCGTGAAAGGTAGAACTGTTTGAGGGTTTGGCCCAAAATCAACTCTACTTTATTTAATTTAATTTAATTATTATTTTATTATTATTTCCTTGAAGTTACTAACTCATTTATTATTTTGTAGTTGCAAGCAAACAGAATCAAAGTAAGAATTATGTTCCTTTTGTTTCTATTATTTTTCTAACGATATGATTTTATATTGTTGGAATTATTGTTGAATTGCTTCCAATATTAATGTTGATTCTATTAATATTTATGATCACCATATTGCATGTTTAAAGGGATATGTAATTGAAAATCACGCCTAATAAAATAATTTGGACAACCGGTTTAGGGTCCTTTTTAATCTTGTTATTTAATTCAAGTGATCACAAATATTTTAGAATTATGTGTTGAATTAATATTTAACCAATTTAGCCTAATAATAGTTTGGAGCAAATTGAATATTTTGTTTGTATGCCTTTGAGATCGCAGGAATCACTTTTCACTATAAGAATTGAGTAGAGGCCAATACGGGGGAAAGTGACTCCATGACTCACTTCGTACTATCATCCCCGATCCTCCTTTCGTGGTTCCGAACCATATGGAGTTAGTAATCTCATGGATTATGAATGAGGTGTAACCTTCATTTCAATCGTTGTTGCCTATCGTTGTCCCTTATCGTGGTTGCCTTTTTATGATCCGTGAACGGTTTACAAGTTCCTTAAAAACTTGTTGTCGACTCCCTACTTTATTTGTCCCTAATCGTATTATGTCAATTCTCACTTCCTATGAGTGCCAAGCATATTCACACATGCTTTTAACGTAGGCGCACTTCGAGCGACGCCTACACCCACACAACCACCGAATCACCAACCCAAAACCACCGTAACCCCAAAATCCCAGCCACAAAACTGGAAAACACTCCTCCCTCACCTTGAAACCCTAACGTCTAGGGTTTTTGATGGTGGGGGAGGAGTTTTTGGTAGTTTTCTAAGGTGGGTTGGTACGTGGCTTTGAGAGATTTTGGTGAGTGGGACTGGTGGCCGGTTTTTGGGGTTTCGAGAGTAGGGTTGATGGTTTTAGGGGTTTGACTGGCGGCGTGGGAGTTTCAGGGAGGGGGTGGTGGTTTGGCTTGAACGGCGACTCTAGGGGTGGGGAAGGCCGGCGATACGCCGAGGGAGGTGGCTAGGCTGGGTGGTTGGGGCTTTGGCCGGTGGGTTTTTTTTATTTATTTTGTTTTTTTCTGAAAGATTATTTGTTTTGTTTTGATTTGTATTTTTTAAAAATATTTTTATCCAATTATTTTGTGACACGCGTCACTTTAACAAAAAAAAAATATTAACCCATTCAATCGGTAACCAGTATTTGGGATTGAAGAAAATGAAGACCTCCAAAGTTCGAATTATTTTAGAATAATCCAAAGTTGGGATTATTCTACCAAAATTGATGAAAGTGAGATTATTTTTTCTAATTTTTCCTAGAATAAAATATCTAGAAATATCATGTAAATTATCTTGTATTTAAGGAGTAACTTGTAATAATTGCATGCGTCGACGTAATAACCAAAGTCTAGCTAATGCCAAGCAAGTGAGCAACCAGGCTTTTACTCAAAAGGAATAAAAATTAAAGTTATTAAATAGAAGATTGAAAGTAATTTAAAGATATACACATATGATCCAAATCTATAAATGGAAATCCAACTAAGGCAGCATTATTAATCTTGCTAACCTTAATAATGCAATGGAATCTTCAATCTTAAATATTAAATCTTAATGGCAATTTGAGTGATTGGTGAGTGGGGTGGAGGTAGGAGTGGAGTAGAGCAATCAATAAGCAAAAGAGTAATACATAAAGCAAACATTTTGTATTTTTTTGTGTTCATGAATAATCACTTTGTATTCTATTTTACAATGTCTATAAAAATAAATCTTTAGATATTTAATATCAAAATTCTTACACTCAACTCATGTGATGTATGCGGAGTTGCGGACCCTGTCCTCCACTATAGTAATTACAAAAAAACTCCACTATATATAGTAAGTTGTGGCATAATAAGTGTGATACTTGGTAATAAGCTGCAAAAAATAAAGAAAATGGAGGCTACTCGCAGCTTATACATTAGAGCAAAGCCATTTCTGGCTGTTATATTTCTCCAAATTGGGCTTGCAGGAATGGATATTCTCTCAAAGGTTGCACTCAACCGTGGGATGAGCAACTATGTTCTTGTTGTCTATCGCCATGCCGTTGCTACTTTTATCATCGCTCCGTTTGCTCTTGTATTAGACAAGTAATCATATGTATCGATTTCCTTCATCTTAACACGTACGAGTAATTACGTAATTATAATCGTGATATGAACGGAAAAAAAAAAACTAATGAATTTTGTGCAGGAAAGTAAGGCCTAAAATAAGTGACTAATGTAATTTTGCATAAAATAAGTGTAATTAATTTAGAGATTATGGTAGCATGCATACATGGAGGAGTGTTTTATTAGTTTACTTAACAAACTAATCAATTTTGTGCAGGAAAGTAAGGCCTAAGATGACCGTATCAATTTTCATCAAGTTGTTGCTTCTAAGTCTACTTGAGTAATATTTCTTTCATGAAATGATCTATTTTATTTAGCTAAAAATTTATTCAAAATCTTGTATTATATAATGTATACTAATTGAATTTTTGAAATGAAACTTTATCTACACTGTTAGGCCTGTTATTGACCAAAACCTGTATTACATGGGTATGAAGTACACGTCTGCGACATTTGCAGCAACGATGGTTAACATTCTCCCTGCAATAACATTTCTAATGGCATGGATTATGAGGTAAGAAAAAAACGATCTTAATAGTTACCTTTTTTTTTTTTTTTTTTTTTATTTTTGAAAGGGTCTTAATAGTTAGCTTAAGGGCTTACTATATGCTAGTTATATCAAGTGTCGAGTATGTCTGACAATCGTACACAGTGGCCGAGCCAACATTTAAATAATGGTAGGACATTGTACCGTCTTGAAATTCTCTTATCAAGCACCTAAAATTTGTCTCCTTAAACATTTATAGTAAAAAAAAAAAAAAAAAAAAAAAGACACTACCACATAATACAAAGCAATCATGAAATTAAAGAATGAATGTTCTTAATATCAAGATTTAAATTTATGTAACGTAGTATTCTAAAATCCATCAAATGTTACCCGGGCTTATTCCAGACTTTAAGTAATGACCCATTTAATAAAAAAATCTTCTACTTATGGATTGAACATCACTAAAGACATATTCGTATCAAATAGCATGATTCAAAATATCAATTTTAATTGAGTATGATATTAATAAAATTACAACCAAAGCAAAGGAAAAAAATAAAAGGAAAAAAACAAAAATTAAATGTTAGACATGAAAATTGAACCCATAACCTTTGATGGAAAAATCAAGCTAAGGTTCTAACCACTAGGCTACTAGTTATCTTAATTGTAATTATGAACTTTATGCACTTTTTTTTATAGCCTGTTATGGCACTTGCTCTACCAGGACCTTAGTTGGCTCCGACTATGATCAATTGATCATACTCGCTCAATTATGATAAGTGTCCATAATGAAAATTCCCCCTTGTGTCTAAGGATGTTCGTTAACTTTTCTATTGCCTATAACAATGGTGGACAGACTTGAAGTGGTGAAGTGTAGAAGCCTCCGTAGTCAAGCAAAGATAGTAGGAACAGTGGCGACCGTTGGCGGGGCGATGATGATGACACTAGTAAAAGGACCAGCTCTTACATTTTTGTCAAAAAATAGCGTAACTGATCATGGTGCAAAATCACTAGATATTAGTGTTCATGACGCAATTAAAGGTTCCATTATGATCACTATTGGTTGCTTTAGTTGGGCTGCTTTTGTCATTCTTCAGGTATGTATAACTGATGATGTATATGATTGGATTTTCTACTACAATAATTCAATACTTTCTACTTTATAACCCATTCCTAACTAATTATAAAGTCACATTTCCTTTTTCTTTTTTCTTTTTTAAATTAATAAATTTATCCTTTCAAAAAAAAAATATAATAATAAATTTATTTCTTTGTTTGTTTTAATGTAGGCTATAACTTTAAACACATATCCAGTCGAGTTATCTCTTACAGCATGGATATGTTTGTTGGGCACATTAGAAGGTACCGCGGTTGCACTAGTTATGGAGAAGGGAAGATCCCATGTATGGGCAATTGGATGGGATGCCAATTTATTAGCTGCGGTTTATAGTGTACGTTATCCCTCTAAATTTAAAAAGCTAAATTGATTGAACATAGTCTTGCTTATAAAATTGTGATTGAATTGATATTTTATGAATATAACTAATTTACTTGTACAAAGAGAAAAAAAAAATAAAAAAAAAAAAAAAAAAAAACCTAGTATTATGTGACTCATTAAAAGAAACGCATATGCTTGAAAACTTCTAAAATGAAAGTTTAATGAACTAAACAAACAAGTTGGCGTGAAAATTGTTTCCTTTTATATATAATTAATAAAATCTCCCCACGAAAGTATGTATGAGTTAATCACATGAATAAAATGTTGACACATAATGAAAAGTATCATATTACTTTATTATTAATTGTCTATATGTACCGTGAAAATCTAAATGGCCACGCCATGCTAATTATGTGATAGGAACTTTTCCATTATATTGATCTTAATATAATTGGTGGTATGGGCCCTACAAGGTACAGTGAGTCAGTGAATATGCTATGGGCCTATTGGCTGATCAAAGAGACCGCCTATGCATAATAACAAGTCTCTTTGATCAACACTAAATTTTTTTTTTTCTCTTTTCCAGGGGTGTTACTTCCTAGGTCCGCCAATGTCCATCATACAAGAAAATTTAAATTAGAAATAAGATATGAATTTGTGTTTATCATTATGTTTTGTCATATTAAAAATTTTGGGTAAATACAAGTTAATCTCTGAGATTCACAAAATTTGTTTATCACATGGCAATTTTGTAAATAAATCAACAACTTTTTCCATAAAAGTGGGTCCTACATTAATGATGACTAGATAAAGTTGTTCATTTATTTACCAAAATGCCATGTAATAAACAAATTTTGTTTATCCCAGAGATTAACTGGGGCTTCCTTAAAAAATTTTACCATGCATTTGCCTTGAAGTAAAAACCGTATTTTACATGATTAGATTGATGCTAATTTATACTACCAATACAATAACATTTGGTTAACAATTATTATAATTGATTAGTTGAAGAAGCAATAAAAATGTGAGCAAATAACAAGAAAAACTTATGATATATGTACACGTTGTTGTGATTGTAGGGTATATTTTGTTCGGGATTGTTATATTTTATTCAGGGAGTTGTAATGAAAGAAAGAGGACCGGTTTTTGTCACGGCTTTCAGTCCTTTGTGCATGGTCATTGTTGCTATTTTGAGCACCTTCTTAATGGCGGAAAAGATGTATCTTGGAAGGTAATTTCTTACAGATATAAATAACATTTGTTTTTAATACTTCACTAAGACTAGTAAAAATTAATTGTAAATAAAGTCAAGTTGTATTAATTATTGTGTTAAAAGTCAAGTTGTATTAATTATTGTGTTAAAAGTCAAATTGTGTAAATTATATTATACGGATTATATTATTATATATATTGGTGTGAGAAGTTCAAATAATTATTATTATTTACTTTAATTTTGTAATGTGACTTGTGTGAATTGACTAATTAATTAAATTTAATTTTGCAGGGTATTTGGTGCCATTGTAATTGTAGTAGGCTTGTACATGGTTATTTGGGGAAAAGGCAAGGATTATGACACTCACACTCCACCACTTGATGAAGATAAAACAACAGACCAAAACATTAGCACACAAATACAATTACAAGGTCAAGTTGAAGATGTCAACAACAATTCTCATTGGTTGCATATTAATCAAGATCATATTCATGTATAGCTTTGATATATTTGGACTAATTATCAACAAAGTAACCCATTATTTCTGATAATTATTGTTGATGAAGAGAAGGGGTCGGATCAATTTCGATTTTTGATTTCATCATCAACCATATGTTTGTAAAACTCGATCACTAGCTTATTTTTCAATTATCTTTACGTTTTAACTGATAATGAGATATCTAATTTTCGATTCCTAATTTTTGTATTAATGAAAGATGGAGGTTGCTCATGAATCAATTAGATTCTCTTTAGTTCCAAAAAAACATTCACTTGATGTGCATAAATATAATGAAAATAACTCTTGTATAAGGTAGGGCTAAGGGCTTTTTTTGCTACCCTAAGTGTTCCGATCTAAAGATAATTATTAAAGTTATACAATGCCTTATAATTATTCAATGACCCGAGTTTATTAGTTAAAACAACACTTACTCTATGTGTTGGAATCAGAACTAAGTAGTGGATGAATTATGTTCTTAAAAATAAAAATTCTAATGTGGTCACTCTCCTTTATGACCATCACTATTCTTCAATTTGATTGGCTAATCATCTTTCTTAAAATTGTTTGTCAAACCCCTTTTTTAATTTTTCCTATTTAAAATACATTTATATTTTCTGAAAATTAAATTTTGATTTTTTGAAAATCTATTTTTTTTAAAAAAACTATTTTACATAAAACAAATTTTAATTAAATCAAAACATAAAACTAAATTAAATAGTTATAAATAAAAAATTGTTCTTCACTGTTCTTCGTGACATGCTTATTCAATGTTCTTCATCTATGAAAGAATTTAACATCTAATTAATGTTCTTTTTCCTCTAACAGCGATTGCGCAACGATTGACGTCAAAGACATGGCTAGATTCAAACATTATATTCGAAATTTATATTTTTTTGAATTCCTATATTGAGCGCAAATGGGATTGATTTTTAATCCTTGAATAATTGGTTTTCATTGTACAAAGTCCAACAATTATATTGATGCGAAATAACTGGTTTTATGCAATCAAAATAAAAAATTTAAAGTATTCCATAATCTGGGCTCGACGGGAAATTCTAAGAAGAAACGACACAATTTTTTTGTGCAACTTGTTTGATCCAAAAAAGCGCACATGTTAATTAAAATCTATTTTTGTAAGTGTATTTACCACAATGATATTGGACATTACCTGTATGAAACATCCCTATAAGTTATTGGTTACGACCATACGTTATTTTAGACATTACTAAATACTGCTTTTTAATTCATTAATATTTTGTTATATTATTAATTGATAGTGAATATGACTTTGGTCTTCACTACACAAATCACATTTTATATGTTACCAAGCTAAGGTTTGATATCAATGGTAACTTATACATCTACTTTAGCGGTTTTAATTCTGTAAGTAATTAAAACATCCACCTTCTTCAATATAAGTAATTAAAACATCAACCTTTAGAAATATTTCATGGGCATAATCGTTTTAGAACTATAAATAAGAATTTACTCATATTTTATGCGATATAACATTAAGGGTTACATTGATATATTTTCCACATATAATTTATACCTAATGATAATTATATGTTGTTTAAGGCCCAATGTCTAAGTACTAACTCGTTATTCAAATGAACCTTAGCTGTAGAAAAATAGTTTTTTTTTAAAAAAAAAAAAAAAAAAAAAAAAACGGGTAATGACACAAACATGTTTAGGATAAAGCATATTATATGTTTATCAAACGACAGCAGTGATGCAGCATCTTTTTCAATTAATTTATGCGTTGAATTTTTCAAATTAAATTCAAAATTTTCAATTGACCGCCCTTTTTTTGGAGGTTAGTTTCAAAAAGCTCAATTATATCTTTGATCAACTCTCCCCCTTGTACTTAACACAAACACATACGTACCGAAAAAAAAGGGGATTCACAAAATTTCATTTCTCGCGGTTCATTTTCTAGTTTTGGAGAGTTCATGGTGAAATGTGAATGTGGCGTTCCCTCTAAGATTCGAAATGTGAACAAGCCTAACCATAATAAAGGAAAGAAATTTTATGGTTGTGGTAAATATCCGATACTTTTTCTAAACCCATTTGTAATTTTCTATAAAAAAAAATGAGTAAATATAATAATATTTCATTAGGGTTCCAAGTACAAATTAGGGTTTTTGAATTTTTATAAATTGCAGGAGGCTGACTGTGGATTTTTTAAATGGTTGTATGATGGTGTCGGTGGATGCGTCGAGTGTGAGATGATGTCAAAGATATTGGATGCAACTGAGAAAGAAGTTGAATCTCTAACTATGAAGCTAATCAAAGTGAAGATAAAAGTCACAATTTCATGAACAAATATGTGACTTGAAAAGCCAATTATGTCAATCAACCATGGAGAAGAACATATATATTGCATACACATTTATGACTTTGTTTGCACTGGTTATTTCATAGCTATATTTGTGGTCAATTATTAGAATATAATTGAATAAACTGTATTGCAGAATTACTTGTTGAGGATTTGGTTAATTTTAAATATCAATTTTTTTTTTTATGTTATAATATATATATATATATATATATATATATATATATATATATATATGAAATCTTAAAGCCTTCTACCAAGTGTTGCCTTGCTTTTATGCTTGTTTGTTGTTAGACCTTTATAGATATTGTGTCTTACTTGCATATTAGCTCCCCTCCAACCCAACTTGATGCGCTAAGGACTCGTGGTTCGGACCCGCTTGTGCCCGCTTTGAAGTATCGGCCGTCACAAGCCCCGACCACCCGCACTCCGTCGCCCAGATAGACGTGAGTGCTCCTGAGATTCTTTTGCCCGCTTGTGTTGCTTTGTGCTCACAAGCCCCTCTTCCGCTCAAGGCTAGCGTTCTTTCCGCCAAAAGGCTAGAGCGCGCCGCACGTTTCGGGGTCCAAACTCCCGGACCGTGACAGTTATATATATATATATATATATATATATATATATATATATAATTCACTTTTGATAATTACAAACATATTTGAATTCAAAATAATGTTTAATCATTTAATGGAATTTTTTATTTTAAAAAAAAAAACATTTTATTTGTCAATGCATGACAATGTTTGAAAAATATGCCTTCAATACATTGAGTTATCATAGGAAAATGACTTTATTATTAGTTCTTGTATTTTTACTAACCTAATATAGTTTTAGATATAAAGGAATATTTACATATCCTAATTAAGTTCATATAAAATAGGGATATCAATTGATATGTTTTCTATTGTAACACATGTTAATTAAATTTAATTGGTAACTAACCTTTCAAAATTAACTTAAATTTTTTTTATAAGGGTTACTATATTCATGTACAGATAGAGTCCCTTTCATACTTAAAATGATAATCCCCTTAAAAATATAGACCCTTTAATACTGTAAAGGTTGTGAAAATGGAGACCCTTCTAATTTAAAATTCAAGGTATGAAAATAAAGTAATTTAACATAAAGTGAAATAATTTAAGTAGAAATTCAAGGTTCAAGTAGACCGTACATTACAAAGACTAAATTTGTGACATGCCACCATTACAGTTTCGCCACATTGGGCCAAAATACATGCTAGTACCCACATTACAATTTACTACTAAAAATGTGTTACGATCACAGTTGAGAAACACAAAAACACAACAATTAAAGTATATAGCTCCTTGGTATACATAGATACTTATACGAAACCTAAGTGCTATAGAAATTGTCATTTCCAGAATCATCATCTTCATCAGAAGGTGCAAAAGAAGCCTTTTGTACTCTCTTAGACTGGTCATCCTTATCTTCATCCTAACCTTCATCTCAATCTTCCCAACAAAGAACAAAAGTAATTTGGTTAATTGTCTTGAGTTTATACTGAAAACTAAAATAGGTAATAACACGAAATACATATGGTTATTACCCATTAATATACAAAAGAGATTTGTTACACAAATTTCAGCAATAATATAAATACACTACTAAATGTACTTGTTCAATTTTATAAATGACAAAATAGATGTGTCAAAATAATGAAAAAATAGAGAACATGGTCACAAACATAATTTAAAATATACAGTCATCACATGAGATTAATTTAAGGTAAAATAAAAATACAAGAATATCAATAGAATTGAAATACAGTTTAAAAATAAAAAGGTAAGACCCGAATAATAATTAGCCATTGTCTGTTTACATTAAAACAAAGAATTGATATACTACATTCATCAATATAGTTAATTTCCCAAAACAAGTAATCACCAATGACAATGACAATGACAAAAATAGAGAACAACATTTTCACAAATATAATACGCATTGACATTACATATAGTTTGAGAGATGAATTTAAGGTAAAAAAAAATACCAGAATATCAATAGAATTAAAATACAATTTAAAAACAAACAGGTAATGACCCGAATAATAATTAGTCATTACCCATTTACATTAAAACAAAGAATTGATAAACTACATTCATCAATATAGTTAATTTCCCAAAACAGATAATAACTTGTGACAAAGCAGAGAACATCATTTTCACAAACATAATAGGTAAAAGGACATTACATATAATTTCAGAGATGAATTTAAGGTCAGCAATACTAGAATGTCAATAGAAAATGAAGCATAAGGACAATAACTAAAGGCAATAACGTGTAATTTGGTTAGTCATTACCCATTTTTTATAACCATATAGAATTGTAACCTGCATTCATCAATTTAAGTTAATTATATCCCAAACGTATAAAATAAATTACCAATGACAAAACTGTTGGATTTCGATGAGCCAACTCATAGCTGAACAAAATCCGACCCCATGACTCGCTCACAATTAATATAACTAAAACATCATAAATAACAAGAAAGAGAGAAAGACATTCTTACCCTTGTCGCATAATTCACTCTCACTCGGAGCTCTTATTTCAAAGCCAAGTCTTGAAAGCGCAGAGACTCCTACGGTATCTACCCGCAACTCCAGCCTGACCCGTCTCTTACTTGGAGTTTAGCCAAGTCAAACCAAAACACAACTCGAGTATTATATGAACTTAAAAGTTTTCTCTCAAGTGGAGATGCCTTATCGAATTCCTAGTTAAGTGACTTTCTTCTAATCCCAAGGTGGGTATTTATAGAGAATGTCATGAGAGAATTCCACTCTCCCATTAATGTGGGAGAGTTGATAAAATCAATTTTCCCTTTTTATTTTTTAAATAGAAAAAAGAAAATAGCAAACAACTGATTAATCAACAAGTGGCATTCTAAGAGGAGAGGTTAGGTAAGGACCACAAGGGGGGGGGGGGAATGAGGGGGACCAAAACTTGATCCCAAGGCTCCTAAGAATCTCCTCTCACATCTCTCAGCTCTAATGAATGGCTTCCACGTTGAAGGCCATGCCTTGGCACCCAAGCAATCTTGCTGGTGCTTGGTGCGTGCGGATAGACCTGCTGTTGGGAGCATGCATGTGCAACAGTGCTGCTGCCTCGGCCCAGCACGCCACACATGCTTGCGGGTTGCTATCTAGGGGAACTTACGCCGCACACTGCTAGCACGCGTTGCTAGCAAGCTTACAATGCTAGCTTGATGATGTTGTTGCTCGTGCATGCTAGCACGACTTACTAGCCATGTGCTAGCAGTGGTGCGCTAGCATGCCGCATCACAAACCAGCCAACTTAGGCTCGTTTTGGTGTGCATACTAGCATGCTATACCAAGTGCCCCTAGCACTCGGTTTGCTCAAGGCATTCCAATGCTAGGGATATTTCGGTAAATTATTGATTAATTATTGATTTTACCGTCTCGTCTTTTATTAATTAGACTCGACTTGCAATGCTCGATTTCAATGCTCCTAGCTTGATTTTCGTTGTTTAAATATTTAATCCTTGAGAGACTCATTAATTCATTCCAAATTAATTCGTCATGTCGGATTGTTTGTTTCTTGAATGTGACAATAAGGGTTCAGTCAAGATTAAGCTCTAATATTAATTATGAAATAATATTGCTGATCGGAAGCGGCCTCCAACTAGGCATTCCGATCACTTAACCTTACTGAATAATTATCTTTCTAATAATTCCGAACCCTCCATCGGAATAATACACTTGTTCGAAGGACACCATTCTATCAATCTCCCACTTTTCCTTCCTGAAAAGTGCGGTTTTTATGTATACCCTATTTCCTATGTCACTTAATGTCTCTTGATGAACTATAAGGTAAGATTATTTTTCATCCTTATTACGTCGAAAATTGTTTCTTGAAATATAAGTTTGACTGTCAATAAACAGATGATTTCTAAAATCCATCTGAGCACAACCATGCATTTTCACAGTCTCGCTCTCCGAGAGGCCTTGTAAACAACAAAGACATGTTCCCTATCATTAGTAGGGGGATGTTCCCAATCCTGTGATGTCATCTTCTCTTACTTAGAGCACCTACCCGCCCGATTGTTGCTGTTATAATCTCCATGTACGGCATACATTTGACTAACACCAAAACAGACTTGTACTCAAACAAGAGAACTCATTATTCTCATAGTTGAGGAAAGATGTTCCGATAGCCAAAATGAGGAAAGAGGTTCCAATAGCTCAATTGTTGTCATAATAGAGGGCTATTGGACCCTTGATGGACGGTACAACTTCAAGTTCACCAATGAACTTATGAATCCAAACTGCCTCCTTAGCCGCTTCAGCACCTGCCACGTATTTAGCTTCAATTGTAAAATATACAGTTGTTCTCTGCTTGATACTCTTCCAACTAAATGCTCCTCCATTTAGATAGAACATATATCCAGAGTGTGTTTTGAAATCGCCTGTGTCTGTTTGGAAACTTGCATCGGTATAACCTTCAAAAACTATTCTTCTGAACCACCATATACTAGGAATTTATCCTTGTTCCTTTTCAGGTACTTTAGGATATTCTTGGCCGCAATCCAATGCGCCTCTCCTAGGTCTGATTGGTATCGGCTCATAACACTCAAGGCATACGATACATCTAGCCTAGTACATATCATGGCATACATGATCGATTCAATAAGAGAAGCATATGGAATCTGATTTATCCTTTTTTCGCTCATCAGGTGTCTGGACACTGCTTCTTGCTTAGGGTTATGCCATGTGACATGGGTAGGTGACCTCTCTTAGCCTCTGCATGTTGAATCGATCCAGTACCTTATCAATGTAAGTACTCTGGCTCAATCTAATCATCTTCTTAGATATATCCCAATAGATCTTTATGCCCAAAAGTGAGGTCCTGTTTTTGGGTTTGTTTCCGTGGCGAGTCGGACTCACCAAACCCTAACAAATTCATCCATCTTTTGTTGCAAAGCTAAAGATTCGACATTTTTCCTCTCAACTTTTTCAAGTTTTTTTATCCTTCTCTCTTCAGCCTCTTGAGCCTTTTCCTCTCTTAAGCAAACAATCTCTTCTTGGAGTTGCTCTATGGCTGACATTGTCGTAATACCTCGTATTTTATACGTATTTTCTAATTAATTAATTAAGAAGTATTTTATAAAAAAGGTATTGTAGTAAATTAATTATTTGGAGCCAAAATAATATTTGAATTTTGGCGCCAAAAGCATTTTGAAAACTAATAATTATTTTGGATAAAATTTTATCCATTTATCCTATTTTAAAAACCGGCTTATTTACATATTTTAATTATAGCAAAATAATATTTTATTAATTATTTTATTATGGCCAAATTTTCCAATAATTAGTTAGGATTTTTGGATTTTCCATGTATGGAAAATTTGATTTTTCTTGATTATTTATTGGTAAATAATTGGTATTTAATTATTTATTTTATATTATTTATACAATTATTTTATTCCTTAAAAACCGAGCAAAATCTTCCTAAATATATTTATAGGAGTCCGAAAATTTAGGCTATGGTAAACTTAATATTTTCGGCCCTATTGAATTATTTTGGGGGAATTTAATTGGTAAAATTATATTTTTAATTATCTCCCAAAATATTTTATTTTCCTTTATTCTAATTCTCCATCTTTTTAACATCTAATCATTGTATTTTCTTTCCAACCATTCTTCTTAATTATTCCCCAAGTAATTCTAATTTTCTTATTATTTTTCATGACATACATACCTTCCATATTCAAGTATACACAATCACCTTAATATCTAAACTTTCCTTAATTCTTTTATTCACTTCTCCAAGTAATCCCATAAACCATACTTGCCATAATTCTTCCCACATTCTCTTTCCATAATTCTTGCATGAGCTAGCCTATAAATACCCCTTCATACCTCTTGTTGAGGGTAAAAATACCCCATATACGTGGACCAGTCCTGTAGTGACACGTGGCCCAATTATAGGGTGACACGTGTCACCACGGGAAGATGCCACGCATTCAGCTCAAGAGCACCCAAAGTTTCAGGCCAATCTCGTATCAACACGTGGCCCAGTTAGACGGTGACACGTGTCGTCACGAGAAGATGCCCCATGTTTAGGGCATATGTTCCCCTTAAATCATCACGCAAAAAGAGGCCTAACAACGTCAGGGCCTAAATCCCGAGAGATATCAATGAAAGCCGCAAATCGGCGCCCCCAAAGTAGCACGTGGCATTCACTGATTGCGCAGCCAATCACGTCACGCAATTCTAGGGCACAAACCCTAGAAAGGGGCACGAGTCCCACCCCTATAAATACCCCAATCATTTATGACGGAGGGGTGGATTAAGACATTACAACAAAAGAGCATTAAATAGCTCTAACTTCTCTCTACTTTCTCTCTCTAGCCTTTTCCGTTCCGATCACTAACTTGATCGCCGGAGGCGAATATTACGTCAACCGGAATATTCGTTGTTTTGCAGGTTGAACTGTCTCGTTGCCAGGAGAGCGTGACCAGTATCCAAGGAAATATTTGGCGCCGTCTGTGGGGATACTCGTACGTTATGGCGATAGACGGTCAGACACCTAATCCAGGCGAGGATGGACATGTAGAGGATATAATCCCTACAATCCATACCAGTGATCCGCTGACACCCACATTTCAAGAAGCTGATGACCCTCCTGTTACCGCAGCCTCTCTTAAGGCCGCGCTTAACTAACTCAGGAAGGAGATTGAGAGCAATGGATCCTCTACCTCTACGCAGCCGCCCAGGAGAGAGGAACAGAGGGCTCCAAAGAAGACACACGGCAAAGCGGTCCATTCAACGGACGCTGGAAACACTCCCTTTCGAAGGCCGACTGGAAGGTCCCCAAGGGTACCATGGACAAATTTCTCTTGTTTGTTGGCGAAAACACAGTCGGCTGGGGGGAGGGGTAGGCAGCCTCGAAGAGAAGAGCCTGAGCCGTCCAAGCGATGGAAGGATGCAAGGGATTACCTCCGGCATAAGCAGCGGGAACGTGCCGCTTACTCGGACAAGGCCTCAACCCCAACTATGCCGGATGATTTTTCACAATATTATATCTCCCAACATACCAACACGACCATCTCCAGCAGAAGTCAGGCGGTCCGCACCCCAACTCCTATTCCAGTTGTCCATACTCCAACTCCCATTCCAGCGCCATCACTTCAATATCAACCTCTTCAGGGGTTCAATGGCTTGATGCAGCCTAACCCCCAAGCCTTCGGACAATAAGGGCCATACGGACAGGCGTACGGATAGGCTCCCTACCTGGCCGGACCTTCCGTGCAGCCACAACCCATCGATTGGCAGATGCGCCTACTCACGCTGTGAGATAAGCCGCCTCCGTTTTCGCAAGATATTTTAACTGCCCCTCAGCCGCCAAAGGTGAAGAGTGTACTTGTGGGAGCCTATGATGGCACAGACAACCCAGAAGAACACATCACCTCGTACAAGAACCTGATGTACTTGCAAAGTGTAGATGATGCTACTTAGTTCAAATGTTTTCCGGCCACTTTGAAAGGTGTGGCGCAGGATTGGTTCAATAGTTTGCCGGCCGGATGTATCAATTGTTTTACTACTCTTAGTTTGCTGTTTGTGGGAAATTTTTCATACAACATACCGCCTCGAAAGACTAGCCTTAACTTGGCGACAATCGTCTAAGGGAAGAGTGAGGGCCTACGCTCGTACGTCCAACGATTTAACCAAGAAAAAGCCCAAATTCATAATCTGCCGGATGAAATGGCTTACTCTGAATTTCTCCGGGGATTAAGGCACAATGGTTTTAAATTTGACCTAGTAAGAAAAAAGATTCGGACATACGCAGGTGTCTTGCGGGAAGCCGAAGTTTATATTGAAGCGGCGGACTTTTGTTCGCTCACGAAATCAGAAGCGCCGGCCAAGGGGGCTGAGAAAAAACTTTCTCAGCAAGACTCGGCCGGCCAAAAGAAAGAAGGAAAAAAGAGAAAGGAAGTCTGGGTGGCAACAAATGATTGCATCAACTTGAAGAGATTGTTGGACAAGCTAGCCGAGAAGGGCATGCTGAATTCTTATGTGATGAAGTCCAAATTCACTTACACACGGACAAACAACACGTCGAACAAAGATAGAAGAATGATAAGAATAAGGACAAGGAAGATGATGGGAATAGCACTGATTCAGGCTTTGTGGCCGTGATATCAGGGGGATTTGCCTCAGTCGACCCAACTATGAAGGGATCAAGCAGGACGCCCGGAACTTGGGAAAGGTGATGCAAATGGACTCTGTAAAGGCCGAACCCTTCCCCGAAGTAATCATCAGTGAGGCCGATCGGGGGAGGTTAAAGCCCTGCACAATGATCCCATGGTATTCATTATGAAGATAGCCAATTTGAAGGTCGGACGAATATTGATTGACACGGGTAGCGCGGCTGATATCATCAGCCTGGCCGCCCTGAAGAATCTAAGCTTCCCAGAGGATGCTCTCCAGGACATCACTCACCCGTTGGTCGGATTTGGGGGGAATGTCATCCATCCGGTGGGGCGGATAGATTTACCCGTCCGCTTTGGGCAAAAAGGGGAAGGAAGAGATATGGTTGTCCGCTTCTTGGTTGTGAAAGAGCTGACTGGATATAATGTCATACTCGGCCGTCCTACACTGAATGCAGCCAAAGCAGTCATTGTACCTCACCTAATGCTGCTAAAGTTCGAGAGGACGGACGGGAAAATAGGGACAATCCAAGGAAGTCAGAAGATGGCAAAGGAATGTAATCAGTTGGCGGTTAAGCCTACAGCACGCGAACCAAAGGCGTCCGAGCCAAAAGAAGAAGGAACCTCACTCCCAACACATCAGGTCGGCCAGAAGCGTAAGGCGGAAAAGATAGAACAAGCATAACAACTAATGACTGTCGGTCGGCCAGAAGAGTTATGACCCTAGCCGGCCGGCAGTCACCAAGATATAGTGCTTGACCCCAATCAACCAGGTCGGACGGTTAGTGTGGGCACTATAGCTTTGGGTGTGCTTGGGGATGTGTTAATTCAATTGCTGTGAGAGTTCAAAGATGTATTTGCATTTGATGTTGGTGAGATGCCAGGAATAAGCCCTGACCTGGCCGTGCATAAGCCTGTCCGCCAGAAGAAGAGGAATCATGGGGAAGAGAGAAGTCAGGCGGCCGCAGCTGAAGTAAAAAAGCTGCTGGACGCCGGTTTCATTCGACAATGTTATTACCCACACTGGGTAGCCAATGTGGTTCTTGTGAAGAAGCCGAATGGAACTTGGAGAATGTGTGTGGATTACACCGACCTGAACAAGGCATGCCCTAAGGATAGCTTTCCTTTGCCCAAAATCGACCGCCTGGTTGATTCAACGGCCGGGCATGCCCTGATGAGTTTTATGGACGCATACTCCGGATTTCATCAAATTTCATTACGGGAAGAGGATCAAGAGAAAACAGCGTTCGTAACTGAGTAGGAGTTGTACTGTTACAAAGTTATGCCATTCGGCCTTAAGAATGCCCCAACTACCTTTCAACGACTCGTTAATACAGTCTTCAGAGATCAGCTCCGCCGAAATATGGAGGCATACATTGATGACATGATTGTCAAGTCAAAAGAGCCGGCCGACCATCTGAAGGATCTACGAGAAACTTTTACCGAGCTCAGGCAGCATAAGATGATGTTAAATCCAAAGAAATGTGTCTTTGGTGTTGAGTCCGGTAAATTTCTCGGATTTTTAATTGATCAACGTGGAATTGAGGACAACCATGAAAAGATCCAAGCCGTCATGGAAATGAAGTCACCAAGGACGATTAAAGAAGTACAAAGATTGACTGGCTGTTTAGCAGCACTTGGTAGATTTCTGTCAAGATCAGGAGATAAGTGCCGTTACTTCTTTCAAACCATAAAAAAGAAAGCCATATTTCAGTGGATAGAGGAGGCCAAGGAAGCATTCGTACAGCTAAAATTCCACCTTCATACATTGCCTCGGCTTGTCAGTCCACTCAAGAGTGAGAAGTTATTTATCTATCTTGCAATCTCTGAACACTCTCTATGTGCCGTCCTGCTTGCTGAACGGGACGGCCACCAGATCCTAGTCTACTTTATCAATCATGTACTTCACAACGCTAAGCTGAGGTATCCCCTTATTGAAAAATTTGGCTTGGCATTATACATGGCATCGAAAAAGCTGCGGCCATACTTCTTGGCACATTCAGTTGTGGTCTACACAAACCAACCTCTGAAGAAGTCATTTACAACTTTAGAGGCAAGTGGCCGTATGCTTAAATGGGTCTTGGAAATGAGAGGCTTTGACATTTTATTTGAGCTAAGAAAAGCAATCAAGGGAAAAGCCTTTGCTGATTTTTTAGCTGAGATGACTCGGCCGGATCTTCAGCCGGCTGGAGACCAGATCTGGAAGGTGTTCGTGGATGGTAGTGCAACAACTACTGGTTGTGGTGCAGGTGTCATATGTCAGTCTCCTGAGGGAGATAAGTTTGAGTATGCTATGAGATTCCAGTTTCAATTCTCTAATAATGAGGCCGAGTACGAAGCCCTTCTGGCCGGCCTTAGAATGTGTAAGGCGGCAGGAGCAACAAAAATTGATGTAAGCTCGGACTCCTTACTTGTAGTCGGTCAAGTGAATGGAGACTTCGAGGCAAGGGAGCCGGCTATGATGAAATACTTGAAGATTGTAAAGGAGGAGGCTAAGGGCCTAGATCATTTTACTCTACAACAGGTTCCTTGTTCGTCCAATCATCAGGCGGACACTCTCTCTAAATTAGCATCCTCAGCATCATGTGATACCCCCAGGTCGGTATTTTGGGAGGTAAAAGAAAGGAGGAGTATTGATGCTGAGCCGGTACATATCATTGATAGAAGCTCCACTTGGATGGAAGGGATCATATCTTACCTAAAGGATGG